TCAGAATGTGATGGACTAGCAACCTCCCACCCCATTTCACTGGATGACTATCTACGCATATCTTTCTGTTGTTTCTGAATAATGAAACAAAATTATACGCCTTCCATGCGTCCAGATCATGGCTGGTGAATGTGTTACTGTCCTTCAAAGTCTCTGTCATTTATGATGCGGGTGCAGCAAGCGTTTCTTGCCTCTTCTTGTTAAAATGAGAACAAATCCAAATCCATTGATGATTAGTTCTCTCATTGGACATTGCATGAAAGAATAGGCGTACTTGAATCCAATTGTTCATGTCTGATGTCTCCATAACAGTTCCACTTTTTCTGGATGGTGTATTTTGAACGTCTCTGTAGTGTGAATTGTACAATTTAAAGTGCAAAGTTTTCCTCTTCTCCCTCCCTTGAAACTTCAGTATGATGCATCTCTTTACCTAGAGTGCATTTCTAATCCAGAGAATTGGTTACCGGTTTAAGCAATGCAAGTATAATACATTAATACAGTATCCTTTTCTTTGTTTTCTGCGTGAAGTATGAAGTAAGATAATCCCAGTATCCCATGCATGAAAAGCAATCCAACAATTATCTGAACTCTTAATCAGTTGCATTAAATTTGGTTGGATTGAAAAGCGTTAAGTGTGTTAAGAGTCCCAGATTTTTGCCAACAAGTTCAACAGAAAAGATCAAAGGAAGAGATGTTTTTGGCTGTTGAGCGGGTATGTTGAATGCATGAAATGATGACAGTGACTTCAACTGTGTACTGTGATTTGAGCGTTTAAATCATGCATGGCGTGTATCCAATTACCCAGAATCATTCGGTTAATTACTTTGATTACTGTTGAAAAAAGAATAAATCGGAACAATATTGTTCTGACATCGGACAGGTATCAAACTATGGTTGTCGCCTGTCGGGTTGATTAAACCCTGCAGCAAAGAAATATCTACCTTGTATATAAGAAAGGAGGAAGGTTTAGTGCTTTCCTTTACTTTTGCCAAGTGGCTTCTCAATTATTTGACAAGTGGCAAGGCCAAATATTTCTTGCAAATTATTGAAGCCTTCTCTTAATATTTCTTTCAAATTGACTGAAGCCTTCTTTTTTTTTTTGGTATTAGTGCTTTCCTTTTCTTTAGCCATGTGGAAAAGTCAAATATTCCTTCCAAATTGTACAAAACCTGTTCTTTCTTTTGGCATTGAACTCTTTCTTTCTCAAATTGCGTGAAGCCTTTTCTTCCTTTCTCTCTACCAGACGGCTATTTTGACCAGACGGCTATTCTAACCAAAAATTCGGCGCACCTATTCTAAGCAAATCCAATTCCAAACGGCTATTCTACTAAACCCAATCGGAAACGTTGGGATTTTTACGTGATTTGGGAGATGGGTTTTGCGAGTTCCTTCTTTCAAAAATTGCCGTTGAAGCCAGTAGGTCAACTGCCACTCCAGACACTTGATTTCATGTTGCAGAAATTGCTGCTCACTCACATGGTGTTTGTACTTCAAAGAAGGAAAATTAGGAGCAGGTGAACTGCTTTGCCTACACTTGCCGTGGTTTCCTCTTTCTCTAATATCAAATTAACCCATTTCATGTTGCAAGAATTGATTTCATGTTAACCCATTTCTCTTTCTATTGATTTCATGTTGTAAGAATTGTGGGGCAGTCACATGATAATTGTACTTCAAAGGAGGGAAATTGGGAGCTTTTTGTTAGATTAGGTATGGCATTCTATTCTCATTAGTTTTCCATTCAGCCTTACGATTATGATGAGAAATATCTTTTCAGATGTGATTTTTCCCTTGTTCTAGTTATGATAAGAAATAGGTTTCCTATTCATTTAGCCTGTAAATTTTCCAGTGAATTACGAAATCAAAAAATGGAATAGAGGTATTTATCAGTGCATGGTGTTGGCTCCTCTGTCTTATGAACTGCAAGAAGAAGCGTCTTGATCTTTACACCTTCTTTGGAGTCTCTTTGGTGAGAAAAAGTCTTTCCCTTTTTTTTGTTAAATTTTTCCCGTATGAGTAATACACGGATTAATAAATTCTAATATACACATATGCTTCAATTGATAGATTCTTTCTGCTGTGGTTCATATCATCAGTCAAGGAATCCTTTAACTTGAAGGTCAGCTTGTTGTCTTTCTTGAATCTATGAGCAGCTTTTCTTCATTTATGTGACTATATTTTCAAAAGTGAAATTTCAGCGTTCCCTTTTCTTTTTAGTAGTTTTTCTTCAGTTTCTACTTCATTTATTTTAAGTTTGCTAGTGCTATTTGTTTTGTGTGATCCTTTATGAAACAAATAGTTTTTATTTGAGTAGGTAATTGTGTTAATATTTTCTCAATCCAATTGTGCTGCTGCAACCCATTCACCTGAAAAAACAAGCCAAAAATGAAGATATGAACCCAGCTCCCAGTTCAATAATACTTATTTTGAAATTTGGTGAATTCTTGAATATACATATTATTAGTGGCATACCTACAAAAAAGAGAGATCCATTTGCTAATGTGATTATGGCCAACTGAACTGTCCTATTGGTTTGCATATGGTCAATGTTCTATCAAACAGCCAAATTGCTATATATACTAGAAAAATATTATAACAATGGACAACAATAACATATTTTGTGAGCCAAAATCATTAGCACAATATATTTTGTGAGACAAACTTTTGCTTGTGTTGATTTTGGGGTTGTGGCTGCTATGCTAAAGTTATTATTACATGATAAGTTCATTTTTAACTAATTTCAATCTCCTGCTACTGGTGCTTTTGTCTTTAATTACAATATACATATCTAAAACATGTGACCTATTGTTGTTCTAAATAAGGAATAAGAGTGATTATCTATTTTTTAAAGAACTTTAAGGTCAATGCAGAGAGGTTGTTATTGGCAAAGCTTGTTTAGTCATCTAAGTGACTATTGGTTAAACAACTTAAGACTTTGTACTTCTTGTTTCTAATTGATTATCTAGTGTGTGCCTTGTTTGCTATTTCGTTTAGTCTAGACTTGTCTAGGGCAATGAAACGCTTGATGGTTACCTCTTAAGGATATTGTATATAGAGCATCCTTCGGCTGTTATTCATTGTAGCCCTTTTAGGCAAAACTCGTTCACTCCTTTATATGACTATCAATTAAGCAACTTAGGTTATTGTGCCTGTTTTACCCCAAGTTGCATGTAATATGCTTGCTGTTTTGTCTAATCTAGACACAACCTTAGGAGAATGAAAAACCTGATGATTACTTCTTAAGAACGGAGATTTGAATGGTGGTACTTGTTGTAGTCTAGCCAAAAGCTAGGCTCCAAAGGCATCAAATGTAATCAACATTTCTAAAGAAAAATAAAGGTTATTAACTTGGCATTCGGCTCAGTTGTGGTTTTAGGTGTCCGCTAATATCCTATTAAAATTACTTTGTTTTGTTTATAGTGCATCATTGCTCTTGCTGTGTTTGCCTCTAAAGTTCGAATTATGTATACACCTATTTTGCTGTTTTTCTTTACCCTTTTTTGTTCATGTTCTTTCCCTGATATTTCTTTTTCCTTGTGTTTTGTTACTTGGATAATCTACACTTCATCTTAGACACAAAGCTTTGTACGCACAGAGCAAATAAATCTTTTTGGTAAATATAGGAGAAAATTTGAGTATCACAACAATTAAAATTTGCTATGAAAAGAAATTCCGTTTATAAAGTTAGTCCCCTATTCATCATGATTTGGACAAAGATTTTTGAACCAATACTATGTGTCCAAAAAAAGAGACATAATAAGTACACTACATTGATGTTAGCTGCATACTTGATTGGTAATTTATAATTTTAAGAATGCTATTTCATAAACATTACTGTTAATCTTATCTTATACGAAAATATATGACAACAGATTATAGGGGGCCTAGGCTGTGCTTAGCACAGCCGATAACCTCTTAGTCTTACATATATAGAAAGACTTAAGATTTCTACTCCCAGGTTTAGCCACGTGGCGGGATGAGGGGAGGAGAAAAATTTTCTTCCGTTTATGCCCTGAGAATATTGATTAGTTCTCCGAACAGTGTATCACTGGTGAGGTCATTTTTGTCTTGTTACATAAAATTACTATCTTGCCCAGAGAAAAATAACTAGACCCAAAACAGTAACTAACTGTTGAGGGCTATTTTTGACTTTTTATTAATAATCTTTTGCTTTATTTCTCAGTCTTTCCCGTCTCTTGCCCTCTTTTTTTAGACCAAAGAAAGCGGTAGTTGGCATTAGCTCTGTTGTTCTCCGCTTTTTCTTTGTCTCCGTTATGAAAGATAAGAAGTCAAAAAGTCAAACAAAATTATGGAAATGCATCGATGTGGCTGGAAAGCAAAACACTCCCTTTGCACTTCATTTTACAACTTTAGCCCATCATCTTTTGTTTTCTTCTTCCTTTCTCTCTCTCACTCTCTCTATTTTCCGTTTCTTAATTTTCCTTTCAGCTTTCTTTTCTCCCACAAAGAGTCAATTATGGCTGCCCATCCATATCCCAACTGTGGGATTGTTCCACAAAAGATGATAATCCTCCTTTCCTTTTCATTGTTCCAGTTTCTTGGACTATTCTTCTCTTCGGTGGAAAAAGAGAATTAGAGAAGCAGCTGAATAGCTTTTAGAAACAGTGGCCAAGAAATGGGTTGTCCGCCTGCTTCCTCCAACAATTGGTCAACAATGTCAGGATTGGCTTCGCTAAATTACGACTGCTCATCGGATTTTTTCGTTAGTCCTTATCTATTCCTTTTTATTCCCCAGTCATTCTTTTCCTCTTGCTTTGTCTCTTTTTTTCTGTTTTCTGTTCTTTACTTTCCCCCTCCTGTTGTTTCCAGATCACTCGGTCAAAAATTTCATGATTTTCTTCGCTAAATTATGGCTATCCATCCAAGTTTTTTTACATCTGTACTCTTTATTATTATACCCAACCATGAGAATGTGGTTTGTCCTTTTGTATTCATTTTCATTTCTTGCCCGGTTGAGAAATCACCCAGACTCAAAAGAAAAATCTCTGACAACTTATCAAGTTTGCATCTTTATCTGCTCTATTCATGATGGCTAATACTATTGCTAGAGATATAGGTTTGTCCTTCTGTTTTCCTGATATTGTTGACCAATTGCCAAATTATCAAGAATGAAGGAAAGCTTGTGCCTTTATATTAGAAACAGAAGTACTGGTCACAAAAAACTACACCCTTCTTCTACTTTGTTCTCTGCAACCTTTCGTGCTAAAGGTAACTACTACTTTTCTTTGTCTAATTTGTTCCCCTACCAGTATTTAAGAGATTGGATAATCTGTCTACTTTTTATTTTAGTTACCAAATTTCTTCAAGAGGTTAATTGCAGTTTGAAACAATTGGTGCAGAAAAACTTCTGATTTAGCATGCACGATTTCTAGCAAGTAGTTGTTTCAATTTCAGGTCACTCTCTTTAGTCCTTCAATTTCTTGCTTTTTCTTTTCCTGTTAAGAATATAGTACAAGTAATTACCAATTAAGGGTTGTCACCGTTTATTGAATACAGATAATCAAGCTAAAACAAGTTAAATTCTCAACCTAAAGTTTAAACTAAAGTTCCAGCCTTATGTAAAAGCATCAGAATGAGTAGTGATGTGCATGTCTTACAGATATGAGGAAAAAGTGCCAAAATCTCACTGATGAAAATGAGAATAAAAGATAGAGTCTTATATATTAAGGTTTTGCCCCACGTTAAAGGTATTATGCACAGAAATCAGGTAGGCAATAGAAGAAACAAAACTTAAAACAGATAATCCTAATATTGAGTTTCTGGGATTTGTTGTAGCTGGCTTAGAAGTGTAGAATATTAATTCCTCAAAGCTATTTGTAAAGGCAACGTGCTTGGTTCCACAGAACTATCAAATGTTAAAACCACAATATGTTGGCTGTTTTATGCATTCACATATTTTGAATGTAGTGAGTGATGCATAATCTCTTCTATGAATACTATTACACCCAATTAAAGATTACAGAATCTGTGACAGTTTCTCTAAATCCGAGTATCTATAAAGCTGGAACATTAAAAAAATGAGGTTTTCTTGATGAAATATGTTTGCTCACTAACTTTGAACCATACACCCTGATATTTGCACTAAAAAATGCACAAACCTAATGAAGTCAGATTGTTTGGTAAGAAACAATACTATGTTCTTTTGTAGCTTAAATGACTGTAGTTTTTAGGTTGTAAGTTCATTTGGTTTCACTTATTGACTGAATATGGCTAAAAATAATTGCACCTTTGCAATCTTTCCTACTAAAACTAATTACTCCTTTCTTTTTGTTTTATTTCTTCCTCTGTCAGTATTAATATTATTAGATAGTTTGCATAGTTTTGCGTTGACTGATAGCATTCTTCTACATCCAATTTACATTGCGTTGACTGATAGCATTCTTCTACATCCAATTTACATTACCAGCTCCGTTCACCAATTCAGCATATTTGGGGTTGATGGATTCATGCTAAGGAATTGCTTTACTTCAAGGTCATTTCTTCTGTTCCTTGACTGCATAGATTTAGTTATCATATTATGCGTGGTGCATTGATGGAGAACAAAATAGTACTCAGGCCTAATATTACTTTCATTTTCTTACGACTACTTTCATTAAGATGAAAAGAAAAAGGAATACAAGTAAAAGTTTTAGTTTAGTAGATGAGTGGTTTAATGAATGCTACAATACTCAGGCTTCAATAAAAGGGAGCCCAAATATCTCTCACAAAACAGTACAATCTCAAGAGCTATCAACAAATTTCCCCCTTTCTCTCTTTATGGGGACAACCATTCTACTAAAAGCAATTTGTGTTCTTTGTTTTCTGTTTTACAGATGGCTAGCTGCCATGGAAGCAATCATTCTACTGAAAGCAATTTTTACATTTTCTTCTCTGTTGTACAAATGTTCCTTTTCTTTCATGTAAAAAATAATATTATAAGCAGAAGGTGAATAAATGTAATCCCCAGAAACTGGTATCTTTATTGTAAAGGTGTATGAATTTTGTACTTTTTAAATGGAAAGGATATTATGTAATTTCATTTAAGAAGTAAGGTTCTACCTTTGCTTCTTTATTCTTACTCTTATTGATTAAACATTTACAAATGCAACATAGTATAGGATCTTTTGAACATTTATAGATGCAACATAGACTACATAGTATAGGATATTTTGATTTTCATTGGAGAGATGCTATTGCTAGAAAGCAATAATTTACGCACTTAATATTTTCCACATCTTGCCAGTAAACGTATTTGGCATGCTATGTTTACAACTTGATGACCAATGATGCAAGCAATCCACAAAAGTTTGTTAATTATACAACAAAATCACTGAACTTAATAAAATTTTCTACAAGAATCTCTAATATCGGATTTCTTTTCAGCTAAAACTTTAATCTTCTAGCCTAAAAATGCTTTTAAAAAATTTTTAAACTTAAAAAAAAGAACAACAAATAATAACAGTATTTAGGTTGGTATTTCAATTAATAAAAATAAAAAAATAATGTTCATATCTAATATTGTTAGGATCAACATTTCTTCAATTTTAATAGGTAGGCGTGAGCTATGATAAACACCTTATTACATTAGATACATCTACATAAGAATTGTCACTACTTACAATTTAGGTGCTCTAAATTATATTTTCTACACAATAGGTTGGGAATTGGTTGTGCTATTGGATTTAGATGAATGATTATTTAGTCTGACGAGAATTTTGAACCTTTTCAAATGGGTAATTTATTTCTAATTTAGAATAAGAATTAGATACAATTGTGCCCAAATTTAAAAATAAGAGTGGCAAGGAATTTTTCAATATTTGTTACACAATAGATTGGGCATTGGCTGTGCCTTGCACAGCCAGAACCATTCTAGTATATATATATATATATATTTGTTGTAGATCTACACTACCAACATCATAAAATAAGTAAAGAAAGATAGCCATCTCCCCATCTCCCTACTAGTTAGTTAGGAATTTTTCAATATTTGTTACACAATAGATTGGGCATTGGTTGTGCCTTGCACAGCCAGAACCATTCTAGTATATGTATATATATATATATATATATATATATATATATATATATATATATTTGTTGTAGATCAGCAATAATCTTGTAGATCTTCAAATTGTTGAAGATCCCGTCTGGTATCAGAGCCAGAGGGGGAAGTGGGGAGATGGCTATCTTTCTTTACTTATTATGATGTTGGTAGTGTAGATCTACAAGATTAAATATTCCTGATGAGATTTATTAACTTCGTGATTACCATCTTTCTTTATTTATGCTACTGATAGTGTAGATCTACAAGTTTAGATCTGATTAGATGAGACTGGTTAATTTCGTGATTACTATCTAATGTATTCAAGTTATATTATAATTTTCGTAGTCTAAATTTTACGACTTTGGATCTGATTAAAGGACATGGAACCAGTAAGTGCTAGCATCCGATCCAGGTAAGACCATGGGATTTGGCTCTATTGGGGTGTTAAGGTTCTTGGGACGTACTCCAGGACGGGGAAGTGTCAAGAGATCAGATCCAGGAAATATGAGTTTTTACTATCAATTTTATGATTTTGTTTGGAAATATAGTCGTCATGCATAGTTAATCTTTCTCAAAAGATTTAGATCTATTCTCGTAGGTTTATTTTTACTATCTTTATTATGATGGAAATATGGTCGTCATGTATAGCTAATTCTTCTCAAAAGGTTAGATATTTTCTTGTAAATTTTCACACTATCCTTTATAATCTGTTTAGAAAAATGGTTTATTCTCCATGGATCCCTAAGGATTCTGTGCCAAAGGGAAGAGGAATATAAAATTTGTTTATTTAAATTGATTTATTGTTTCTTTTCATGGATTCCTTTTTTAGAACCAACTCTACCTCTTCTAGTTCCTCTTCAAACACCAAACTAAAAGAAGAAGTTCATATATAAGATATCAATCAAGACATAGACAATTGAAAAATTCCTAAATATACTCAAACTGATATTTATGAAAGAGACAGAAAGTGGATGTTTTCTGCATCAGATTATACAATTAAAACAGTAGAACAAACTATAGCATTAGATGTTGATCATGAAGAAATCAAACTATTATCCAAAAGAACAATAGAAAAACATAAGGAAAAATACAATTATATTCATTTTGGATTAGTACAAATTGCAGCTAAACCTTTGACAAGAGAAGGATTAGATACATCCCTACTCCTTTGTCTTAGAGATAGCAGATTCTTAGAATTCAATGATTCCCTCCTAGATATGGCAGAAACAAGCCTTTGTGGAGGACCAGTATATTTTGATTGTTTTCCAAATTTCACAGTCTCTTTAAAAGATAAAAATATTCTAGATACTTTAACATTAAACATAAAAACTGCTAACTATAGAGTCAACACTGGGACTCTTCCTGTAGCTATTATTTATAGAATTCAATACAAGGTTATGAATTCAGCATTCAGGACAGGAGCCCTAAAAACAATACAAAAAGGAGAAACAGTCCTGTTCCAGACAGATCTGGCCAGATCAAGGATTACAGTTCCAAGATCTATCACCTGGAACCAGATCTCATTGCCAGAAAGCTGGGTTCTTCCGGAAATAGCTCCAGCAGATCCAATACAAAATACAACAGTTTCAAGCATCCAACAATTTGCTTATGGAGCTGTTCAAATCAAATTTGATAGATCTATGAGTTTTAGGGCATCATCTTCATCAACAACAGATATAGATATGCCTAGATACTCAACAGGAAGAAGATCAGTTTCAGACAGACCACTGGCTCCTTCCATTTCAACCAGACTACAAGATCTAGATCTTTCTTCTAAGATTCCACAGCCAAGGTATGCAGCCAGCAAACCTACTCCTTCAGAGGTCCAAGAAGAATCCTCTGATGATGTGGAGCAAGAAGGACTTCCGAGATCTCCTACATATTCTTCAGTAACAGAAAGTCGTCCTCAACTTGATGAGTTAAGGGTAATTTCCTTTGAAAAACAAAATATCAAGACAGAATTTTATGCTGACAACAATTATCCAAAAAGGATGTGATTCTTTGATAAATACAAGGGACAACATCGACAAAAAATACAAGAAGATTTCTATGGGTTTCTCAGAAGAATGAAACAACATATTCAGTTCTTCGATTGGTTTGAAGTATATTCACAAAGAAAAGGAATTAATTATCCTTTTTCGCAAACAACAAATGTGGTGACAAGGTGACAGACAGCTGAAGGAGAAATTCAAGCACAGCTTCTACCACCAAAGTCAATCATCTTCACATACAAATCAACGGAGATTAATGCTAAGCCATTCAAGCTCAAGAACATCCAGGATGAAGGAGCAATTAATAGCAAGGACATCCAAGGAATCTATGAGCAAAACAACTACACCAACAAGTATCTCCAAACTCTTGGAGAATATCTCTTAAACCAACCTATTCCCAAAATTCCTTCTATAACCACTTCTTCGTCAAACCCAATTTTCAAACCTCATGAAATACCAACCAAATTTCAAAAGGAACTCCAAAATAAACCCTTAACCCAATTGAAAAAACGAATAGCCAAAATAGAACAATCCTTTTCTACCCCAATGTCCAAACAAGGGTCAAATAACCAAGGTTCTGCAAGTGTTAGTCAAACAGCTTATACCATTACCAAAGAAGAACCTCAAGAGTCTTTGACCTTAAACAAATTACATCAACCTTCTTCTTCACAAAACCAGATTACCAACTGAAAAAATTCACAAAAACAATACTATTCCAGAGCCACTTATCCAGATATCTTTCTTGAAGAAAAATCCAACATCCTGCAAAATTCATATAATGCTAACAACATATATGAATGGAGCATAGATGGGATTTCTGAATACAACATTCTCACAATTCTTCAGTAAATGACCAATCGTCTGGTATCAGAGCCAGAGGGGGAAGTGGGGAGATGGCTATGTTTCTTTACTTATTATGATGTTGGTAGTGTAGATCTACAAGATTAAATCTTTCTGATGAGATTTATTAATTTCGTGATTACCATCTTTCTTTATTTATGCTACTGATAGTGTAGATCTACAAGTTTAGATCTGATTAGATGAGACTGATTAATTTCATGATTACTATCTAATGTATTCAAGCTATATTATAATTTTGGTAGTCTAAATTTCATGACTTTGAATCTGATTAAAGGACATGGAACCAGTAAGTGCTAGCATCCGATCCAGGTAAGACCATGGGATTTGGCTCTGTAGGGGTTTTAAGATTCTTGGGACGTACTCCAGGACGGGGAAGTGTCAAGAGGTCAGATCTAGGAAAAATGAGTTTTTACTATCAATTTTATGATTTTGTTTGAAAATATAATCGTCATGCATAGTTAATTTTTCTCAAAAGATTTAGATCTATTCTCGTAGGTTTATTTTTACTATTTTTATTATGATGGAAATATGGTCGTCATGTATAATTAATTTTTCTCAAAAGGTTAGATATTTTCTTGTAAATTTTCACACTATCCTTTATAATCTGATTAAGAAAAATGGTTTATCCTCCATGGATCTCGAAGGATTCTGTGCCAAAGGGGAGAGGATTATAAGTTTTCAAAATCATTTAACTGTTTGTTTATTTTATTTATTTTCTTGTTTTAATTTTCAATGACTTCTCCAGTTAAACCATATTTCATAAATTCTAATTCTTCTTCAAACAATAAATCTTTGAATAAATTTCAAACTAGAATTGCTCAAATTGAGCAGTCAATTCTTATACAAAGAAAACTAGAAAACAACCATTCTGAATTCCAGATTAATGAACAACACATTAGATCTGAATTCTTTGCAAACCACAATCATTTAAAAAAAATAATTTTTTGATAAATACCAGGGAGAAGCCCGAAAAATTATTCAAGAAAATTTTTATGATTTTTTGACAAAAATAAAACAAAATATTCATTTCTTTGACTGGTATGAGTCTCAAACAACTAAAGAGTCTGCACCAGAACTCAAAAATCCAATTCAAAAAATTTCAAAACCTGTATCCTCTATGTCAAAATCTCAGGGTTCTACTTTAGATCCCGTAAATCCAATTCAAACTAAACCAAAAGAC